GGGCTACTCTTTTACCAACGAATAGTGGGATTGACCGTCACATTATAACGCCCCCACGGCTGAAAGGGCGAGCATGTTTGGTGTGACGGGGATTCGAACCCGCGACCCTCAGATTGCGAGTCGAGCGCCTTAACCACCTGCCCATGCCGGGCCGAATTACGAAAGAAGAAAATATGACAGTGTATGATATAACAGGTGATGCTAAGATATGTAAGCCCATTTGGTCATGAATACGGCGCTACATAATACATATTTGTCTTTAGAAAAATACGTAAGCCGATTTGTTCATGAGTACGGTGCTACATAACACATATTTATCTTCAGAAAAATATGTAGGCCGATTTGTTCATTTGTCTTCAGCTAGTAAGATATTTAATGTATGACTATTCCTTTTCATTGAATAGAGCGAAGATTGAACAGTTTATTGACGAAAATAAAGCATTAATACGACGTATGTTTGGAGAATACGCCATTTCCCCGGCCGACAACTATACCTCGTCAATCCCGTATCAGTACGAAACCTACGATGGACACATTCTTCACACGCGGTCAGAAAGAGCCACTAGCCGAACATCCTTCACTACGTCTTCAAATAAGTAAGTACTCCGAATGGTTCTTTAGATGGATTTGACAAACAATTACTTTTATATTTATTTGCAACGAGAGCCATAAAGAAAGAAATTCATAAAATGGTTTCCAAAGTAAATACAGCATTTATGTGTAGTACGAGCTAGAGGCTGCATTAAGAATTTTCCAGAAATGCACATTTGACCAGATGTATTATACTATAGCACAAGTTGGTAAACATTGAAGCCAAAATTTCTGCACGATGTTTTGCTCCCCATACGATTTGAATCGTGCTGTAACTGGTTCTGAAAACTCTGCGAACAGTGATTTAACTGTGAAAATTCTACATACACACACAGTCGAGATACTATACGGTAGAAGACCTGTGAAAGTATTATGTTCCTACTAAACGAACACAATTATGACTTATTTATATCCCCATTTCTAATATGCAGGTTAAATGTCATAGCGTTTTATTGGAATTGCAAAATAACTAATAAACCGCACACCAACTTATTGGAATAGCACGAGATGTAATGAACTACACACGAAAACAGGTCCTTGTCAGTACAACGTTAGATTTTTTTTTTATTCCTGCAAACTCCCGGTGGAGCAACGGAAGGTGTTGTTGCAGTTACTTGTAGCAGGTTGGTTTTTACGGGGTGGCCCAACCCCTCCCCCTTTCTCATCCTGGACTTGGGACCAGACAAAGGCGGAGGTTGGCATGTTTGGTGTGACGGGGATTCGAACCCGCGATCCTCAGATTACGAGTCGAGCGCCCTAACCACCTGGCCATACAACGTTAGATTCATCAGACGGTTTTTATAGCTTTTTGTTTTATTCCCTTGCTTCAAACTTATGCAAAACACTGTTTAATTAATATAAATTACTCTCCAATCAGAAATGCCTGTCAAATTTAGATTCCACTAATAATGCTCTTCAGTTTGCAATAATTGGTCTACAGAAAATACAAACAAAAAACATTAGCAACAAAATTTAATAAAAATAAAAATAAAGTGTAATTAAACTGCCCTCAACAAACATGAGCTACTAAGTCTGGAAAACAAAGAATTCGAGTTTAGATTACAATACTTTAATAAGATGCGTGCTATATTATAGAAACACTTAAATATAACAAAATTGAATATAATGGCATTTTTTCAACATTTGTTCACCTTTGACTTTTGTTTAACAACGAGTCAATACTTGCATAGTTACTAATGTGCTCTGCCCACCACAGGTATCGAAACTCGGTTTCTAGCAGTAGAAGTCCGCAGACATACCGCTGTTCCACTGGGGGACCCTTTTGGAAGAATAGGGATTCTTTAATTACGACTTATCCATTTTGTAACTCGTGTTTTCCAAATATCGTGAAGATAGTCTTCCCAATTCACCTACTAAAAATGCAAGCTTAACTTGTAAACTCGTATGGATTATTGAGTTTTTTAATTATAATTTTTGAAACGGCATTTAATCTTTTTAGACATTTAGACATAATAAAATGTAAAATCACAGGATATTAAGCGATCTCATGTACATAAATTGTAACTTCAAGAATCTTACAACGGAAAACAATAGTGACATTTTTGTCTTCTTTTTTATTGGAAGCACTTTGTAAAAATTTCTTATTTACATTTTGGCAAAATTTACATTTACACAATGGAAACCATATCACTTAAATCTAAACCAACAATTTGAATTTACCTTCTGAGTTTAATGAATGCTGGTTGTTGTAAACATAAATTTTATCAGTTAGTTAACATTTCAACCTGTCTCTGCAGAGTAGATGCTTGTGAATCAGCAGTAGAAATTGTAACACCATACTGGGCATCCAACAGCGCGGGAAAAATACGAGCTGTAGTTAACACTCAACACCTTCAACAAGCGATTCAGCAAGAAGTTTGTCAGTAAGTATCATAAGTTACTCTCGAGGTTTAGGCTTCAGTTGTTTCATGTGAAATAACCGTGTAGACTTCAAACTTTGAAGACTTTGGAGTAGATATATTCGACTATATGGTTATTTTAAGGGTGATAAGCCATCCTGTGAAGTTTCTGGAGAAGTGAAAACGCACCCCGAGAGGAATTCGAACCAATGATTTTGCTTGCCATGTAAATGCTTTAACCAAGTAAGCAATAACGTCCCGAATCCCGTCCGGATACAGGATTAGTGATATAATATAGTTCAGTATGATTTTGGTACATAAAGTAGTCCTAGTATCGATGATTGGAAAGATGTTCTAGTGCATGTTGGTTCAATCTTTTGCCTTTGGAGGGCCGGTATGGGGACGGAAACACTGTAGGGCTATAAACTTGCTACTCATGTGACTTATTGAAACGAGACTGTATCTGTAAGTATGATTCCTTGTTGTACATCGGGCATATGAACTCGTATACCTCAAAGAGGATATTCGATGGATGTTGTCTTTAAAGTTGAAGTACCATTTTAACCATAGATTTATAACATAGCTGTTTGATAAATTTTTTCTTAATCATGTATGCCTAAGTATGGTATGACTAAAGTACCATTTTTCTTTGGGACATTAACATGGCAACAGATAGGGTATTTAGCTTTCAGTTTTTGTGTGAATTATTCTATTTAGGAACGACAACGGAAAACAATTTTTCTGATTTCACGATATTTTAAAGTAGCGTTTTAACCAGATTTTCTATAGATATTTAGGGAATGAAACTTTCAGACTGTGAATAAAGTTTATCATAAACACACTTTCACTGGATTATATTCACATTTTACTGTTCTTAAAGATAACACCATAGCACTTAAAATACGTAATAACTTTTCTTAAACACTCGGTGTCCATCACTATCAATATTTAATCCGTCTGTTTGATTTGTATATTATTATATCAGGTTTTGTTTAGCTGAAACAAATCGCAAATTTTCATCGTGTGACTCCTTTCACACTCTCCTGTTCCAGATTTTATTGTAAATAAATCACACCTGAGATTCGTAGATAACAATTTAAACAACAGAATTTCTATCTTTCTAGAAAATAATCAATAATCTTTGTTCATCAGAATGTGAAACTTTTTTTGTTGAGTCCTGACAAGAACAAACACTTCATCAATTTTAGACGGTGCACCAAAAACCTAAAATTGTTGTGAAAATTTGTTTCATATTTTGCGCTCCTAATTATAATATTTAGGGAAAATGTTGATTTCATTTTCTAAAAAAAAACTGAAACTGCTGATTAGTTCAAATATAGTCACGACCTAAAATTTATGGTAACGATGTATGTATGAAAAAATATAGAAAAACGTTATTACAAAATCTTGTCAAGAAAGAACGGTTTAACTTTTTATTTATTTATATGCTTCCATTTCTATTAAAATTACTTTCACATACAATAAAAATGGGTTTTTAATATATTGAGGGAAATAAAATTCGAAAACTTTTACTATCAGTGATGGATACTGAGTAAGTGTTTTATAGGGGGATATCAATTTATACATAGTGTTTATGCTTTTGTTACAATGTGAATATGAAAAATTATTCCATGTTTATCTCCATTCCTTATAAAGACAGTACATGAAATTATTAGTTTCTGGTCCGTAATATATATCTGAAATCCATTTGGACAACGTCAGTACATTACTTCCCTCTCTATAGGTTAGTCATTATTTATGTTAATTTGTGCGGAATTATGACATTTCATGTAGTTATAATAAATTAACTTAGTATTCCGAAAATTGTTTAATTTCGAAGTCTAAATTCAAGGAAGGTCCAGATCAATCTACACTTTGATCAACGTGTGTTATTGGGTTATACTTGTTTCGGCTATATAATGTGAAGAACTGAATAGTGGCCAATGACACTTTTTCTTCACTTCACCTATTTAGTGTGTAGGTTTTTCTCATAGTGACTACAAAGCTCGTTTACACCAACAGTATGTTTGATTTCATGTAGTTATTAATTGAAAACTAAATCATTTACTTGTTTTTTTTATTTTCTGATCCAGATCAGAACAGACAAAGAGATGTAAGAACGACTGCTCCTGTGAACAGAAGTACAAATGGCATAGGTTGCTGACTTACGATCCTGATGATGATTGTAAAGGGATATTCATGGACTGGTTTCTCTTCCCATCTTGTTGTGCGTGTCGATGCGAAAACACTGTCAGTAAATGAGTGAACCAGTATAGCTTTTTTTTGTAAATTTTAAACACGATGGACAATATGTAACCGAGATGTGGGACAGAAACAAAAAGACGAATTATCCACCATGCAAATGATTTTATTAACTTAATATCGGTGTATGAAGTGTGCGACATACTATGTTCATCATGCAAAATTAAAGAGAGTTTTTTTTCTTTTTGCCAGCTGGTCAGCGTGGTTTGTAAAGCAATTAATCTTACTCTACAAAAATCTATATTGGTGAAAACTTTAAAGACAAACTCGCATTTGGTCTAACAAGAAATCGTGACTTTCTTAAAATTACTTCAGAAATGAATCGTACATTTTTACAATTAATATACAAAAGCTGTCAAATAAAAATACTCCAGAAAATGTCGTACATTTTTACAATTGATAAAAAACTGTCAAATAAAAATACTTCAAAAATGGTCCGTACATTTTTCCAATTAATAAAGAACTGTCAAATAAAAATACTCCAGAATATGCCGTACATTTTTCCAATTAATAAAAACTGTCAAATAAAAATACTTCAAAAATGGTCCGTACATTTTTCCAATTAATAAAAAACTGTCGAATAAAAATACTTCAGAAATGGTTCATACATTTTTATAATTAATAAAAAAACTGTCAAATAAAAATACTTCAGAAATAGTCCGTACATTTTTACAATTAATAAAAAACTGTCAAATAAAAATACTTCAGAAATAGTCCGTACATTTTTACAATTAATAAAAAACTGTCAAATAAAAACACTTCAGAAATGATCCGTAAATTTTTATAATTAATAGAAAAATGTCACGTTTATAAATTTGTTAAAACGATTATCATAGAGATACATTACCTTTATAGTTTTTAGATATTTTTATCGATGCTCTTCCACTTAAGAACCAAATCAATACTTTTCAATTTTATAAACATTATTCACTAGTTCTGTATATGTCTTCAAAATGAAACGTGATTTATTATACTGATACGTATTAGAATTTCAAATAGCCTAAAACTGAGTTAAATATTTGCCGGTATATCTCCAATTTATGATATATACCAACAAGATTGATACACACACAGTTTTCTTTGTTTTATACAAAATGTTTTAATATAAAAACAATAATACAATTTACAATAACAATTATTACAAAAGTTTTACAAACGTACAAGCAATATAAAGTCTTTTTTTCTAGTCTGGAACTTCCTTGATATCTTATCGAGGGTTCACGATAAGAGAGTTAATTACGAGTTGATGTAGGTACAATTCGCTTAACAGGGAGCTAGCTAGCTAGTTTTGTCCTTCGTTATTCACCAGCCACACACGCCAAGTTTTCCACCGTAAAGTTATTTAATGTTTTGGTAAAAATATATTAATGTCCAATGAGAATCCACTGAAGTTAAATGATTTGTAACGTTCGAACTTTGTAAATGCTCTTGGTCAAATATCTGAAGTTTTTCCGATTAATAAACGCTAATCACAATTATAGTTATAGCTTCCGAAGTTTATAGCATACTAATAATATACCCTCTTTTTTTTGGCACGTCGCGTTGGCTATATTTATAGGCGTGTGGAGAGTTTGTAGAAAATTCAGATTACATAACAATACAAAGCTACACTAGCGTTTACGTGCACACTTTTATTGTTGATTCTTACACTCGATAATCTTCTACAACTTTAGAGAATAGGCGGGAGTTTTGCAATATATATTTAACTGTATAAGTTATGTACACTTGTAAATATACATGTAATTCAAGCAAACATCGATATTAAAATAAATATATAGAAATAAATCCGTTACAATAATTTTTAAATAAACAGTTAAGTCGCAGCACATCGTCTTGCTGTTAACTTTTCTGTGTGGTAATCTCCTTTACGATATATATTTTATTTTACAATTGGCCTTGGAAATAAAAATTCCCGACCAAAAAATTTGAAAATATATCAGAAAATGTGGTAATTTTTCAGAATTAATGACTGAATTTTTCTTCTTCTCAAGAATGTTTAACAACACGTGAATTCTAATAAATTGTTGCTGCATATGCTTAATTATGAAATAGACTACGCATAGGAATACGAATACTAAATAACGTTATCTTGATTACTTTGTTTTCTAGCTTGTAATACCCAAGATGGTTGAAAATGTTTACTTCAACTAGTACAAAACTAAACATACGCTTTAAAACATCTTTTAAAATTAGCATGAACACTATGCTTTTTAGGCAATGAATTGAATTAGTATTTTTCTTCATGTTACCAACTTCCACTTTTAAATTTATTATGCAAATTTTAATTGTTTTCTTTAGGCTACACAATACAGCCAAAATGCCTGTTAAGGAGTCGTAGTTTTGACTTCGGTCAAGATTTTCCACTTCCATTTACCTTTAAAATTTTCAGGAAAGTCATTTTAAAATGAGGGAAATTGGGTGTCCTCCAGTTACAACACAGTCTCCGTGTAAACTTCTTTTTTCAATACTAAAACTCACTGAAAATGTTGTGTCTCAACGTTCCTACAAACTTAGGAGTAGGTGCACTATTTTTCTTTCTCGCATGCCCAAGTGTAGCACAGTATGTTTAATATTCCATAAAATTTACAAAAACTTTAAAAGCTGTTCGTGCTTTAACCACCACTACTCCGACATCTGATGGCAAAAAACTGAGTTAGATAATTTATATATTAAGATGATCAACTAACCCGAAAGAAACTTTTTTTTTCACGTGCCAACATTAGACTTCCAGACAAATTATATACCATTATATGAAATTATCATTTATCAAAACATAACGAAGAACTTAGTTTATTACCCAGGTTATCGCAACTCACTCTAAGTGTCTATCTGTCTACATAACTAGAAATCGTACAGTTTTGATTTATCTTCATTACTCTCAATATCCTTAAAACTTATATTTGCAAAAGCATTGCCGCCCAAGTTTTTTTTTCGTGAAAGGAAAGGGTAGCTACAAGTAGAAAAACCAAGTTCCTAACAAAATGTTTAAGATATAAAATTGAGGAAAAGCATTATAAATATAACAAATATAAATTAACTGGTATGACAGGAGATTTAGAAGATAAAGAATGGTGGTGAAACAGGAAATTAGGACATGAAAAAAGGTTGGCTGAAAATGTAAAAATTAACAGTAAGGATTTTTTTAAATACATTAAGGGTAAACAAAATGTTAAGATGGGGGTATGACTCTTGAAAGGTGATAAAGGAAGGCACATACCTCATTGCTTTTTCTTCGGTTTTTTTACTAATGAAGATGTAAGCAGTATTCCACATATTGAACAGTTGATAGATGGAAGTGAGATCGAACAAGATGACTGCATTAATTCTGAGCTGGTTAAGAAAAAAATGGGAAGTTTAAAAAACGATAAGGCTCCTGGATCAGATAATATTTCCTCAAGGGATTTGAACGAGGTAAAAGATTGGATATGTGAGCCACTTGCTACTATTTTTTGGCAGTCCTTGAATAGTGGGCAGGTACCAGAAGATTGGAAGTTACCTAACGTAACTCCTCTTTTCAAGAGAGGTGATAAAAATTGTCCAAGTAATTACAGACCCAATAGTCTTACATCAGTTGTGGGAAGTCTGATAAAAGATGCTTTGCAAACTCATTTAACAAAGTTTAGAATTGTATTGGATAGTCGACATGGTTTCACTAAGGGAAAATCTTGCCTTACAAATCTTTTAACATTCTTTGAAAAGGTTACTGCATGTGTAGATGAGGGTAGGGGTGTAGATTTGGTGTATCTAGATTTTCAGAAAACATTTGACAAGATGCCACATAAAAGGCTTGTAAAAACAATTATCTCTACAGGTGTTGGGGATAAGTTAGCAAATTGCATAGAAGAGTGGCTGGATGGAAGAAAGCAGAGGGTGGTTACAAATTGAGTTCAGTCAAACTGGATTAATGTCATAAGGGGTGCCTCAGGGCTCAGTCTTAGGACCTTTTCTCTTTTTGATTTACATCAATGACATAGATGAAGGAATGGTCAATAAATTCCTTAAATTTGCAGATGATATTAAGGTCTTAGGAGTTGCTAGCTGTGAAGAGGATGCCGTTGATTTACAAAAGGATTTAGATCATTTAGTGAGTTGGGCAAATAAATGGCAAATGGGTTTTAAGTATAACAAATGCAAGATAATGCATCTGGGTTATCATAATTTGAATTATGAATATAATTTAGATGGGAATAACCTTAATAGCGTAATGAAAGGAAGGGATCTTGGTGTATTAGTTGATCAGTCTCTTAAGCTATCCAAACAGTGTGTTGTTGCTAGTGGTAGGGCAAATACGATTTTAAGTTGTATCTACAGAAATATTGAATACAAGTCTAAAAACATTATAATTTCATTGTATGGTCACATTTGGAATACTGTGTTCAGTCTTTGGCTCCTTACCTAAGGAGATACATTGAGTTGTTGGAAAGGTTTCAGAGAAGGGTTACAAGAATGGTGCCTGGGATGGAGAGATTGAAATCTCTCAAATTGTTTTCTCTTGAAAAAAGAAAGAGTTAGGGGGGGGGGGTCTGATTGAGATGTTTAAGATTGTAAAGGGAATTGATAGTGTTGATGCATCATCTTTTTTCATATTTAACAGTAAGAACAGTAGGACTAGGGGACACAAGTATACCTTTTGGCATGGTAGGAGTCATCTTCAGCTAAGAGTTTTATTTTTTTTAACATGGTGGTTGGTCTTTGGATGTTGTGGAGGCAGTAAATTTAAGATAGTATAAGAAAAGGCTTGATAAGTATATGAATGATAAGGGCTGGCTTTAAGATTTTATTTATTTATTAATAGTATTAGTTTAGTTTAGAGGATGGAACAGCCAAGATGGACCGATAGGTTTCATGTTGTCCCAAAATGTTACGTTTATTTTTCTTCCCAGTTTTACATGGTGTACTGTAAATCTTTGTGGGATGAGCAATAAAGCTGTTTTTTATCCACCAACTTATCTCATTCTTCAAAGAATTTATATATATTATTTTCTGTCTTTCTTGATGTTAGAATCTCTTAGTGGTAGTATAAGAGCCTGAAAGAGAAGCTTTATTTCTTGACTGTGATGTAGTTTCTATAAAGATGCTGGCCATTGAATTAATGAATGCATCACCAAAGAAATTTTCACATGGTTGATCTCCAACTGAAGTTTTATAGCTAAGTTTGATATCTCATTTGTTGCAAGTTTCAATTT